GTCAGAAAGTTCGATCAAACATGTGAGTGTGGGTTTTTATACATTACATTGAAGATTTTCACTACTCTGCTTCAACTAGGCTTTGTCGGTAACGAATGTGGAGTTTACTTTCATTATTTGATTCGAAATGGACATCTCTGCACAACAGTCGACGATGAGCACTATGCTCTCATCATGTGATTGATCGTTTTTGTCAACTCATTTAGTTGCTTTAACTCTCATGTGACCGTGCAGTTTTATACCTTTTTGATTCTCTAATTTTAGCGTTTCTTCGAGTTTGATGGCATCACGACGAAAGTTCCGGTCTTACAAGTTTTGGTAATATTTTGTAACTTGATTATTTTGATTTTGTATGAATGTTTTTTGAGCTTGACAAAAAAATAACTGAAGGCTAGGTTGGTTACTCGGAGTCATGCTTTCGGATGAGATTGTCGACGGCGCCTTTTACTATTCTGGTAAATATAAGCTTTAAAGAACAGTTTATCTTCCAATAAGAGTATCTTAGAAAATTGTTGAAGTTTGCATCGTTTGTTCCCCTGCAAGGTTCCCAAAGATACCGCATTATCTCCCTATATTTCGCTCTTCTGAACATCTTAGCTTTGGGCGGTTCCATTGAAATTTTAGCAGAAATGTGTTAAAAAAAGAGCGAAAGCCAGAGTCGCACTGCGTACGGCCGCTGGTTCACATGGGAACTTCTACGGGGCACACATGGTATGCATAGATTTCGTTGAGTCATTCGTAACTATATCAATCAATGTGCGTACTGCATACTGTTTGTGCTAACTGGCGAGCTGTCAAATTAGAACCTGTTCATTTAGTAATTCCACCTTGGCTTTTTGTCTCTTGCAATTTTGTTGAATATATATCGGTCAGTAAACACATCACAGATTGTTAGGCTATAAAATGTTCACTGAAAAATTTCTTGCAAGGGTGCCGTTAATTACACATAACGTGTAATCTCAAGTACTACAAAGGGAAGATACTTGGTCTAAGTGGCGTTTCCATATGAAATGTATACCGTCTTATAGAG